CAATTTAGCATTAGAGTAATTGCTTTACAAGATATTTTTACTCCAGAACCTCATCAATTTTTCTTTTTTTAATAGCACTCAAATTGCAACAAGCACGAGTTTTTTTAAAGGATATGGATTCTTTAAGGTTGCAACCTTAAAATAATGCAATTAAGACGCACTTTCAAATCTGACCGTAACATATAATTTTGATGTAAAATATTCTTAAGATTATCTCAAAATCTATTTTCATATCTAATTATAAATGTTTAAATTCTAAAAATAGTTAATATCAAGTATATCTATAAACATATGAAAATTTAAAAAATGGATAGTCTAGATAATGTGTTGTAAGATGCACTATTTTTGGGACTCAAAATCCTTTTTTTTTTCATAATAATTCATCTCGATGTCGAGATGCTCAATTAGAGGGGTTTTTAACATTAAAAGAATATTTTCTGATGGATTTTTGAGGTGCATCCGTAGTTCTACATTTTAAAGTTGCAACCTTATATAAAACTTTTTCCTCTTGTTAATTTAGCTCTACCTAAGCGGCTCACACGAAATGATATAAATGCCAACATAAACATGAGCAATGAAGGGTATTTTGGCTTAGGTCAAAGCAACAAGAGCCCAAGGATGAATGGAGCTTTTGGTTTTTAGTTCTTTCTCCGAGTTTCTAATCGTGAACATGGAGGATCAAATTAAGTGGTTTGTGCGTAAGGACACAGATATTCCTATTTGTTCAGTGTTAGGGACCCGAAACAAGGATATCCAATGAAAAAGTGAGTTGTGGGCTCCTAATCTTGAATATGGATGCACACTATTATTATTTTGCTCAAATTAAGTGGCCAGTACAATACTTGTTAAAAAGAGGGAGTGAGTTCAAGTGGAAGGCTCAAAAAGTGCAATGAAGTAGGTTTAAAAGGACATAGTTAAAAGTATTGAAAAGAAATGTTGGGACTTATGGCCCCATTGATAATATGGCATTTAATAGAGCAGAATGATAGACCAGGATTCATGTAATCAATTTCAATTAATTGAATAAAACTATAATGATGATGAAATGGTCTGAACAAAATAACTATTTAACCCCAGAACTTAGGAACAACTGGGGTACTAATGCTATTCGACTTGGGAGTGGGCTCAGTGATTGAAATGCCCTTGCCCATCAAGACAATTTAGTTATCCTAAATAAAAATTTTGTGGAGGCACATAAGTGAAAAGAATCTCCACAACATATTGTATCTACCTAGTGATTTTTCAAAGTTGTTTGCCCGATTTAATGATATTTTCTCAAAATAAATAACAATCATAATGATACTCTCCCAAAATAAATAATAGTATTTTAAAGGCACTTTCCCAAAATAAGCAAAAACTTGAGCAGAGGCATCGAAGGTGAGACTCTTTTTCTTTATTGATATTATATATTTTTCCTTCTCGTTGTGTGTGGTAGAGGGTGGGGAGCACATGGGGATTAATGGCAAATGGGAGTAGATAGAGTGGAAATGAATAACTAAAGTAATTAATTCTTCACCAGATATGATGCAAGCACATTACTCTCTGTCTCAAAAAGAGAGTCCATCCCTTATAGTACTGTCCCAATGCTTTGTAGAAGAGCAATGGGCAAAAATTGTAAATGGAAGTTGAGAAATTCAACGGCAACTATGAACCCCAATTATCCTATTAATGTGGGGACATTAAATCCCTTTTTTTTTTTGAAAAATCACTGATTTGATAGTGTGAAAATATTTCTTTAAGTGATTAAGTATGAGAGTTTTTTCACACTAATAGATCTCAATGCACTTTGTTAAATCAATTGGAAGTCACTTAGTACGACAATAATCTCGCATCTAATCATATGAAGGAGTTTTTTCCGTAAAAGATAATCCCTCATCTAATCATATGAAGGAGAAGTGTTCAAAAAGTATTTCCACACGTACCAAATGTACCCTAAAAAAGCATTGTGTGCGGCTCTTCCCCGAAATAGTTTTTCAGTTCCTAAAAAGAGAACAAGAACTAAAATTTATGCCTAAACAGTAATTAAGCCAGCTGGGGTTCAAAACCCTGGAAGTTGGGTTTCGTCCTCAACGCTATTACTGTTGCCACAATAGCTCGAGCAGATGGAAACTAAGACGAGCTTTTCACTTTATCAACTAGAATTTGTTGTTGATATTTTAAAGGGGAATTTATTAAAATGTATGAGATGAATTACTTAATGGGAAAAGTTAATATAAGGTTGCAACCTTAAACATGTAGAACTACGGATGTATCTAAAAAATCCATCGAAAAAGGTTGTTTTAATATTGAAAAACCCTCTAATTGATAATCTCGACATCGAGATGTATGCTTATGAAAAAAAAAAAAGATTTTGAGTTTCAGAAATAGTGCATCTTACAACATATAATCTAGACTGTCCATTTTAAAGATATTTATATATTTATAGATCTAATTGATTTTAATCATT